TTCTTCCGGGAAATGAGAAAACAAAACTAGCGGTAGTGCAGCAACGTATAGATTTATGTGAATAATAATAATAATTACATCTCCGAAAATCACAGGTGCGATTTCATACGCTAATTTTATTGTTWTGTAGTATATAATATATTATAGCGGAGAATACGATTACAATTATTTTCGGTGATTGATGACATCCATGGCATCCACAACTTCGAATTTTGAACCAAAGGCTTTCGTTTGTGCTACGAGTTACGACCCCTAATGAGCTACAACTACCAAGTGGATGAGTATTGCCAAGTATCAATTACTTAAAACTAWTATCAATTTATTTCAAAAAAATTAGATATTTTGGAAATTTTTTTTTAATTTCTAAATATTTAATATTTTTTCTCATGGAATCTGGGCACTTCTTCGTTATTAAGTTATAAAAGTACTTGATACTATAGTATACTTGCAAAGTTGTTTTCCTAGCTACACAGCCAAAAATTTAATGTAGTTCGTTACTAATATGAATCATTTGAGGTTGCGGCAAAAATAATGAAACTCGATCAAAAAGCAATACAAAAATAGCACAAGCCAAAGCCCCCGGTTTGAATACAAATATTGGAGTTGTTGGTGCCGAAAAAATTCATCTCTAGTTGTGTTCATTTTAATTAATCAAACAGTAAAACGTTACGAAGATGTTCGTGTAGCATAATGTGTGCATTATCATGATGAACTGTAACGTAAGATAGGACAAGCTTTGAGCAGAAATCATGTTTCTTAGTTTCGTTTGTAGCCTACTGTTGTGGTAGATGGGCGAACGGAAAATACCGTAGAAGTAAAACGAGTTTGCGGAGAGACGAAAATATAAAACATTAAAATTACACAGTTAGAAAAAAAAAACATACGAAGCTAACAGTAATAATATAAGTAACATATTAATATCGTCGCGTTATGACAAGTGACACTCGAGGGTTGACGAACAAGAAAATTGTTGAATAAAAAAAAAACCCGTTTGTAACTCAAAAGCGTACTAATAGATTTTCATAATAATAATAATATTATGACATTGCGCGGTAGTCTTACAAAATAATAATATAATATCATCATCGTATATTTGTATATTATATTATGTTCAAAACGAATTTATGTCCACTCACCTTTGTAGTACATGTTTTTGTGCATGTTCAGCTTGCAAGTCTTACCCTGAAACAATGYAAAATTCTGTTAAAAAACATAAACTGTAAAGATCACCACAATAACATTAAAAAAACATTTATATTACAATGGTAGTATTATACCAATATAGCAGCAACTACGGTGAGTTGGCCTACGCTCCGTGTACCGGGAAAAATGTATACAGTAACTTTACATAGAAATTACCTTTGAATTCACATATCCATGATACACTCATTTTAATTTGAGTTTATATATAATATGGCGTATACAACAAATAGTTGGAGGATTCAAATCGCACTCTTACGTTTATTATAATTTACACATTTTTTTGTGGAGTWTGACTTTTCTATAATATCAACAAGCCTATAACTGCTACTATTTAATTTYAAGTTGGAACGAAAGATGTGATAAGCAATATCACAGCCCGCAGGCACTGCAGTTGGCCAGCATCTTATGAATTTAAATCGACTTGAAACTAATTTTTAGAATTGCTTTTTATGATGATGAAACTGATTTTATTCCAAGAACTACTCAAACAATAATTTATACTTTTGGCCAGATCCAAATATTGTATTGTTACAAAGCCTATACAATAATCATTATAATATCAGTTCATACGCGCTTCAAACGAATTCATCGTCATCGGAAGTTTAGCTTCCGCGGAACAGTATCAAAACAAATTGTACTCGTTGATAACATTGATGTAAGTATTGTATGATATATTAGCATACTTTTTTTTTCTTGTTAACCCGYGGCAAAATAGTCCATTGAGGTGGGGGCGGTTCTGAAGGTTTTTTTAACGGTGGTGGTGGGATCACGTGAATGTTTTTTTGGTAGAATTTTTAAATGGACACTCGTAGGTATCTGCCATACCCGGGTGGGAGGCCTCTCTTTTAAAACAGCGTGAACTGCCCGGAAAGCGATGCCACCCATGACCGGGGTTCGAACCGGAGACGGTGCGCGTCGCAACCGATGCCTTAATCCACCAGGCCACTACATCCCCACTTGCATATTGTTTACTATTATTATTRTTATATTGTATTCGTGTAAAATGCATCTTATATCTGTAGATATTATAATTAATGTACCTAGATAKAGGCCTATATATTTTTACGGTTTATCATGGAATAAATTCAGGTTGTGATCGAGATTCATTTAGTGAAACGGTATGTTTTACTTTTTGCCAACTCCTAATACTCTATAATATATACACTAAGTAATAAGTTATAATCAAAAAATTACCTGGTGTAATTCAGTAAAAAAAGTACTGTTTTATATTTTAATTATTAGAAAAACATTTTTATGGAATAGCTTTGATTCAATGAACAATACATTATAAAAATGTATTTTTTTCGAAATATTACACCCAATTATTATTATATATTTCTTGTGTAGATAACTTTGTTGAAAATAATGAAAAATTTGTCCAGAGACATCGTCACTATTAATGATAATCGATAATTTTGGGAGTATGGCCGTATGGGACGTATAATACTTTAAGCCACAAAACGAGCAGTATTATACCTATATTAAATAGCTTTTTGACGGTTTAATGGTTATTTTTTTCTAATAATGTCAAGTGCCCAAAACCGTTCACCATTATACAATACGCGCATTYAAACACACACTCAAATAATATATACACAAATGCTCGTGAGCGTGCGTGCGTGAATTCTTTTTTATGTGTGCGTATTCCTCTCCGTCGAATAACAGAATCACACAGAAAGAAAAACGTAGGATAATGTATAGGTAGGTACATTAAAAAAAACACGTTTGGTATAATAGTATACCTACATTATTATTATTATATACGTTTATGAGTGACTGCGTRTGGGAAGTTTTTATATTATTTAAATCGACGCGTATGGTTCGTTTAAACGCGCGCAGCGACTGAATCATCGGCCAAACCATAAATCGTAGCATGGGCATTGACAGCAAAAATTTTGTTTCCTAATCCTTGAAAGAAATTTCGTGTTTAATTGATGATTTAAAATTAAAAAAGTGTACTATTGACGATAGCTTTGAATAGATTAARACATGAACAATCTATTTTCTTCATTCTTATTTTATATTGATCAACAGTATTACATCAAATCACTCCAAAATTTAAGTAACTTATATTATATTTTTAACGACTTTATCTACATAAAATATTACTTAAGATGTTAATATYTAAATATCAATAAGAATAAATCTGTGTATTATATTTTGTATTAAGTTCATTGAGCTTATTGAGTTAAATTTGTTAATAATATTTAAAATTTAGGCTTTTGTTTTATCAGTGATTAAAATATTTAAAAAAAAACATAGTGGTAATAATCATATAATGGTTAATATTACCTAGTAAAATATATCAAGTAATATAATTGAATCACATAATATAACATATGCAATTCATAATTAGGATTTAGTTTTGGAAAATACATTTTTGCTATAATTTAATTTAATTGAGTGGTTTTAAAGTTAAATGATCAAGAACGCATTTTCTATTCGTATAAATGTAACATAATTACCAAAAGTACCTTCTGTATCCAATAGGAGATTAAAAATTCTAGTTCTGGTACGATAACCATACGAATACTCAGTTGTGCGTGGTCGATCGTGTTTAATCGCTTATTACGTCATMTTATCATTTAGCAAAAACATGTTGACCACATACTATTTTCTTAAACATCCTTATTATTTATATTTATCGAAAAAAAAAACGAATGTTCGATCGGTTGCAGCTCATGACGAGTGTGYATCAGACTACATGATTTGAAAACGATATGAAAACCTATCGGAGTACAGTGAAACTGAATACTACAGTGTTGACAATGAAAATTGCTAACGATCTCGTATAGAATTTCAAACATTACATGTCCAAGATAAGTTGATCAAAACTATGCGTAATATGTAATGTTCACCGACAGAAATTATTATCATATGCTGACTGTTCAATTGCGATTGAATTMGGTAACAATTTTTTTTTATCAAAATTATTTGTGTCCGTTGWATCCTTTACAGTGTCTATTGACAGAAGTTAACAATGAACACAAAAATGTGTTCATTTTTATCTCGAAAAATTCCATGATTTGATGACACACCACGTTTGGCTCGATAAAGAGACTAGATATGATTGAAAGTTGGACTTAATAGAAGTAACCATAAAAAGCTTACTTTTCACATTTTTTCTAAAGCAAACCCCAACTAATAATTATAATATATCATCAGTGCTATATATATTGTAATTATGGACTATGGAGCACAGTGACTGCCGCAGAACTCGTGTTTTTTTCCACTCGAAAAACAGTTTTTACGAAGTGAATTGTATATTATGATGCACCGTTACACATTTATATTATAATACTCGTATGGCGTTATAGGTAAGAARTGTAGAAAAAAAAACTGTACACGAAAACTTTTGTTTTCGACTATATAATTTTCGAATATTACTCGGGGAAAACTTTTGTTGTGCTTTAAGATTTCACGTTGTTTATAAACTAATAGAAAGTGGTCGCTCTCAACGCGAGA